CGACGCTGGTCGCAAGCTCGACGACGGTAGAGGCGTCGTGTGTGTGCAGGGGAGCGAACAATGGCGCGAGAGGGGGAAGAAGTGGCGGCTAGGGTTCGACCGGGGGAGTGAGGAGTGTCCAGGGGGAAGGTATAGGCGCTGGCGGGGGCGTGGATGGGTGCCACGGTGATGGCCGGGGCCGTGGCGGCCATCGGCGCTGTCCACGCCTCCTGTGTGAACAGATGAGGGGGACGGGGTGCGGTGGGCTGGCCTGGCCAGCTAGCTGGGCCAAGGCCCAGGGGAGGGGAGGTTTTATCTTTTACATTTTCTTTAATGTTTTCTTTTATTCTTTTCTGTTTATCGTTTTCCCATTTTATTTTATTATTATTTTAGCTTATTAAAAATATGAGACCCACACCTAAATTAGTGTTTTAGTTTAACCCTCTACCAAAAGAAGTGTCACTCATAAATAAAATAGTTCAATATTTTAATAATTATAAAAGGCATTTATATAATTGTTTAAGCCACGGTTCTATTTATTTTGGGACATTTAAACACATTATAGAAGTGTGGTTTCTATATGATAAATATCCAAAGATTATTTGCCACACTTTGAACATTTTATTTTGTATGTTTGAGAAATTTGAAATTTGGACTTTGATTCGAATTTGAAATTTGAACCGATTTCAAACCAACTTGAGTTCAACAACAGTAATCATGATGATGTGGCATCATTAGGAGGGAATTACTGTAGCTTAATTATCCGGGCGTCACAGCAGAACTCCAATTTTTCATGAAAAACTACTCCCTCCGTTCCTAATTGTAAGTCTTTGTAGAGATTGCACTACAAACCCCATACGGATGTATATAGATGCATCTTAAGTTTAGATTCATTCATTTTATTCCGTATGTAGTCCACCTAGTGCAATCTCTACAAAGACTTATATTTAGGAACGGAGGGAGTAGTACATTTGACATGTATAAAATGACATTTGATATGTCCACGTTGGTAGTTATGAAACATGTTCTGTCAGATATCTCATATTTCAAATGTATATAATGACATATGGTCCAATTTGTTGGAAAGAATGAAATATGAGAGGTTGTACTCATGAAATTTCATTATCATAATATCAAATTGAACAATTTAGGAAATAATGTAATATGATTTGTTTTACATATCAATTTTTCTTTTCAAAATATGCAATGGAATAAATACATAGCAAATATAAAATATAAAATTTCACATTGGAGTTCCATGATGTCTTAACGTTCCACATTTGAAACATCATTTTTCGGTTAAATAAGTACATATTATGATATTTTGAAATATGTTGCAATAATTGGTATTTGTTTTCATATATCATGTTTGACATATGTTAATACAGAAATTCATATTAAATATAACTGAGAAATGGATTTTTATGAATATTATATTTCACAATTTGGGTACTGAAAGAATGTATTTATGAATATTAAATTTCAATATACAAGGATTCTATTTTATATTTCATATGATACAATTTGCTGATCGCAAAACTGAAATTTTTCATGAACAACTATGACAATTCACATGTATAAAATGACATATGATATGCCCTGGTTGGTAGCACTGAAATATGTTGTACTCAATCATAGTTGCTGATCAAGCTTGCTGATCAGCCATATAGTTAGCTTTCTGGGTAACTTGCACTCAGTCATAGCCATAATATATTTCACAATTTGGGTACCGAAAGAATTTATTTATGAATATTAAATTTCAATACACAAGGATTCTATTTTATATTTCATATGATACAATTTGCTGATCGAAAAACTGAAATATTCCATGAACAACTATGACATTTGACATGTATAAAATGACATATGATATGTCCTGGTTGGTAGCAATGAAATATTTTGTCTAAGATATATCATATTTGAGAATGTATTTATGGTTCCTATTGTGTGTATAATGAAATATGAATTTTGAACAATAGTCGAAAGAATGAAATGTGATATGTTCTTGATATAGCATTTCACTTTCATAAAATATGATTGACTATTTGGAAAGAGTGAAATGTGGATAGAATGAAATGTGATATGTTCTTTAACGCTTCACATTTGATGAAACATTTTTCAATTGGAAAAACAGGTATATATGATATTTGCAAAAATTTGTAATGATGTTAATGTTTCATGTTTGACATACCTGAACCAAAAAACATATTACATAAAACAAAAAATTTGTAAATAATATATATCATATTTTACTATTTCACCAGCAATAGTACCCATCTTCTTTTGTTAGATAGGCTGCAAAATTTATTGTCGTACGATGTGTTAACGTTTAGTGAATGTGAAAATATTTCTCTCTATGTTCTGCACTATTTACATTTCGGAATTAGTAGTGTGCCGTCTTGTAATTAATCCATATTAGGTTATGTGAAATGAAAGCAGACCTGGTAAAGTGTAAAATGCAGTTTTACACAACAGCGAAGAGTTACATTTCAAAACCTAGTACTGTGGCGTTGTGTAAATATTTTATATTATGATAGGTCAAATCAAAGGCTAGGTGGTACTGTGAAAAGTAGAAACTGACCTCACAAGGATGCGTGGTATAGATGCATGTGAGTAAATGAGAAACCTGTACAAATGACCCAGTTGTTAGAATCCAATGACCAGTGGCGGATATAATAGCGCGGAAGGAACACAATGATTTCATAGAGCAAAATGTTGCAACCGGGTAATTTATCTAGATCTTCAAGCTCTAGGTCTTCTAGAAGGGTGTACAAGTCAGTTAGAGATGGTAGAAGCTTGGATCCACCAGAGCTGAGGTGTGCTTGCAAGGTTGAGGCAAGGAAGATGATGTCTTGCACCACACGGAATCCAGATCGAGAATACCTTTCATGTGGAAGCACTATAAGTTGATTGTTCATCTTTACTAATTTTTGCATCTTGGCAGAAATCTAATTATCATCTCCCACCTATTTTGTTTAAGAGCAGCCAGGAAGATGTAGCATTTGGATTTGGAGAGATATATTAATGGAGTACGTTGAGGAAATGCTGGATTATTGTGGAGCGCCACTTAAGGAGATGCTTGATGATGCAAACAGAAAGCTTGATGATCAAGCTAGATTAATTAATTCCCCGAGGTTGAAGATTGAACAAGATTCTAGTGATAGAGAGCAGCAGCTTGGAGAGGTCATAGGTTGTATAACAAAGCTTGAAGGATCAGTGAGAAGGTTGAAGATGTTCATATGGGGAACAATCCTTTTGGTATCAACTTGGTTAGCAATTGGAGGATCTGCTTCAAGTCTGGTGAATATACTGTTAGCTGTAACTTTAATTTATCTGGTTGTAGGGTAACTTTGAAAACCTATCCGTGTGAACCAATATGTAATGTTATTCTATAATGATGTATGAATAACTAGTTAAGCTTGCTTTTGTCATGTCATTATGCAACTGGCCAACCTAGTTGAAATCAAATTTGGAAAGAGATGTATGGAATGAAATTTGGAAAGAGATGTATGGAATGAAATATGTATTGGTATATTGTTTGTATTGGTATATCTTTTGTATTAATTGAAATCAAATTTGGAAAGTGACTATTGTATTGGTATATCGTTTGTATTAATTGAAATCAAATTTGGAAAGAGATGTATGGAATGAAATATGTAACAAGAAAGGTACAAAATAAGTTTAATTTTTAGTGAAACGAGTAACATACATAATTGGTATGCCAACACGAGTATGCGATGTCTCATTTCACATAGCAGAAAAAAATGAATAAGTAACTTAGTGTGACATTTGAGAGATACGTTTAGACAAAAGTTTGTTGTGAGCACCCAAAATAATTTCTTCATATGATTGGGATAAATCTTTGTACTTGATAGTATTTATTTGTTAGCTATGATACTGAATTTAAGCATGATACATAATATGTTTTATAGTAGAAATATAAACACTTTGAAAGACAGCAAGAAGTTTAGCTGTCAGACCAATTTTTGCTGTGAGCAAGAAGAACAAGCATACAAGTTATTTTCTTCATATGATGGGGAACAATCTTTGGACTTAAGAGTATGTTTTAGAAATCTATGATACAAAATTTAAGAATGATAGAGACCGTGAGTGCAATATATACTGTTTGTAGCGGAAATATGAGATACATGAAGTGATTGGAAGACAATAAGAAGTTGTGCTGTCATTTCCTTACATACTGGCAATACAAATATTGGTTTTAAAGCAGGGAATAACCATAATACTTTTAAAGTACCATACATAACAACGATTGCACGGAATGAACATTGTCCATTTCAGATGAAACTACTACATCATATGAAATAACTTGCAGTACACAGCAAATGGTACATAGGTAACAACGCGGTGGAGGAATCAGTCTGTTGTTGTCTTCACGGCAGATGCTATCTTCTTAATCTCAGGCCTCCTTGGATTGAGATCATTGAAGCGGTGGTAAACAAGGATATATCATATTTCCTTCCCGAAGATATCCATTGCCCACTGTAAGGAAGCAAGGAACATTTAATAGGGGATGAAGTTGTACATATAAAGTTGTGATTTTATAGAACATTGTGAGAACATTGTTGTGTGTTGAATAGTAAACCTTGTAATTTCCAATGAGCTCTTTGCCATTGTGACACAGAAGGACTTTAATAACCCAGAAACCACAGTCATCACTGCCATAATAATAATTATTAGTATTTCATTATATTATTGAAGTATATATCAAAAGATGTAGCATCCATACTTGTTTGTTTGTTTTCCAACATAACAATACTTCTTGGAGAAATCCGTAAATGTGAAAGCACTCTTGTGGAGACAATCATTCAATGATTTTTGGAGATTGCTGGCCTGCAATTTGTTGAGAAATTTCATGAATAAAAAGTATTTGTGTGAGACATCCCAGGTACACTATTAAAAAAAATATGAGAATTAGGAAATCTGAAATAGAACTAGTAACATAATGACCTACCATGTTCTCCAACATAACCTTGTGCGGGTCTTCACCTTCTTTGACTTCTAAGTTAGAGTCATAAATTTCAATTGTGTTTTGCGTGAGGTTAATGACAACCAGAATCCAATGGTTGTCAGATATTGTGGGCAGAAATAGCTTGAAAAAAGTACAAATTTATTTATTAGTAACATGGACTGACATAAGAAAGTAAAAATGTACATGATGAAAGATTACCTGCTCAACATTTTCAAGTGCCAACTTACTAAGCTTCTTGCACAGATATGAATGGTTGCATTTATTTCCTTTTTTAGCAATTCGGTCTAAATCAGAATGCAGAGTTGTTAGATAACAAGAATGGAATGAAAATTATGTGTAATAACAGTAAAGAGTGCTTACTATAATAGTCTGGTCCAATATAAGCTTGGTCTTTGATCCCCAATCATACATAAATGCGACGGACAGTAACCACATCATATTTTTGCACATCTTTCCTTTTGGCATTAGGCATTGTACTAACTCTCTTTCTGTTACAGAAGCTGGACCTATCCTGATCTTGGTACCACCTGTGTCATTATCGTTGCGTCATCGTGTCTTACGTAAACCTCGGAACTTGCTATTAGCGACAAGAGTATTGTATAGGTCGTTCAACTTCTTCACCGGATATTGCTTCTTCTTTACGAGCTCAGATATACCTTCGGCGATCTCCTCTTTCTTCTGATAACGCTGTTTTCTCATCTTCATAGAAGGATTTATGCTACCAGCATAATCAAAACATTCTCCATCTAGTAATGGCTCAACAAGCTTAGAGATGTGCTTACAATCAATTGTTTTAGGAGATAAAGCTTCCTCGGCTATGTGAACTATCTCTATATCTCTGAAGATGTGTCCTGATATTTGAATATTTACAAGTCAGATAATTAATTCTATAGTAAATCATGTAAAATATAAATACATTATTTAAGTGAGAACATTTCTTTGTTGTATTAAGTTACTAGGAGTTAAATGAGAAGTATGAGAGTCTGAATCTTGCTTGCCCACTTTAGATATATCATCATCTTCGGTGCGCTCAGAACATACTTCTGCAACTGAATTGTCGGAAGGATGTTCTTGGGATTCATCTTGTTTTTTTCCAGTAATATCCATCTGACAAGATGATGATTCATTGTCTCCTGCAGTGCACTGAGTCTGTATTTCTGCTAATGCAAGAGTTTGTTCTAAGTTTTCACTAAGCACTTCATTGATAGCAAGACTGAGTGATTCGTTGTTATCATTTGCAGGTGCTGGATTCGGTGTCGTACATAGAATCATTTTCATACATTTGTCTAGTATTTTTTGATCAGAATCTTGCATTGCTGAGGATTCCTTTGGTGAGGTTTGACCAATTTGCATAGTGATATCTGATGGTATAGTGCTTGCTTTTGGCATATCATCAGGTAACTTTGAATGGTCTATCTGCAAAACATCCAACTGGAGGAGCTGTGCTCGGGCTGAACAAAAGTTTCCAAAACAATAGGCTGAGGCTGAATAAGGTTCTGCATATCTTCAATTCTGGAGACATCCTAGAGCGTAGATGCAACATTATGTTGAGTAGTATGAATAGTAGCAGCCGCTGGTACATTCATCCTATCATATTCCCTAGTCATCTGACTGACTGACATAATTGATACATCACCTACTATTTGTATGGATAAAGGTGAGGAAGAAATATTTGGAACATCTTTTGAAGTGGAATCAATATCAGAATTTTCAATATATTTTGTTGATTGAATATCATTTTTGCTCACATCAAGATTCCCCAAATGATCATTCGATTGGTTCTGAATGTCATCTTCAAGTGTCGTCTTCTCTGTATGTTGTAGTTGAACAACATCTGAGGCAGGATAGTGTGAGAAACTATCATTCTTTGTAGCTTTCTGTGCATCAGAAACATCTATTTCAGATGAAGATTTTGTTGATTTTGGATCAATGAAGGCAATATCTGGAATTACATCAGCAGTTGCTGCGGTAGTAACGGTATTATGTACTTCATGCAAAACATTTTTGGATGAATCCTGTTTTGCATGTTGAACAGAAAATGCATTACTCTCTGGATGATCCCCTGGGTTGCCATGTCCAGGCACATTAATAGCACTAGTAACAGGTACAAGAGAAGCACTATCCGCTTGACCATCAGTAACAACAAACTTCATGATTGATGAATCTTCACTTGGCATGTTGCTTTTCTCAGTTTGAACATGATGTGACGGGACTTGGTTGGCAGCATTGTTGGGAATGATAATTGCAGTTGTGGGAATGATGACTGTAGAGACTAATTCTGGGGGATGTGTAGAAGCACATATATTTGACGACGGTAAAACATTGGCAATAGAACTCTCTTGTCTTTGTATGGCGGTTGTTGCAGAACATGCTTTAGCGTCAGACTTGAGATTTTGAAAAGTGCAAATGCTTTCCACCAATGGATCTTTACAAGCAGCAGGTTCAGCCTCAACAATCTGATCTGTGGTAGCCAATTCTTTAGAAGAAGAAGGATCGTACTGAGTAATGTGAGCAATCATTGGCGAAGTAGGATGGAAGTTGTCATCTTCGACACCTTCAATGTTCACCAAATTGGCTGCTGGTTCTGATTCATGAGTACCGATTTCTACAGTTTCATTCATGAAGGTTGGAGATGAAGGTGTTCCGACTGTCAACTGTGGGATGACATCAACATGAATGCTAGTTTCGTGAACACGTTGAGAAGACTGGGAAGAAATTAGAACAACTTCATCTAGATTGGAGCGACATGGACTTTGTGTTCCTACAGTTCCTTTGGTCAAAGTTGCATCATCATTATGCAGAGAACTTCCTGGACGTGCATCATCAATCATCGGTAACATAGCCTTCTGAATCTCTTCCTGGACCAAGGCTGCCATTTCCTTGGTTTTCTTTATTTGAAGCTGTTGCACTTTGTTTTGAAGCTTGCATTCAGACACAGTTATTAACCTTTGTCGATCGGCTGTGTACTGGTCTTCAAGCATCTTTATCCGTTTGATCAAATTCTGCAAGTTGGACAGAGAGTAATTCATGAATATATCAATGAAAAATAATGAACTACTGTAAAATAGATTTAAGAAATAACCTCATATGTAGATTGATGTGGCAGGCGCTTTTTAGAAACTTGTACTACTTGTGGAGGAATTTTATGTTTCTCCTGGCAAGGTATAGTACTTATATTTGCTGTTACTGATGGGGTGGAATGTGTAGATTTTTCGTGATCATCAAGATCATCATTATGGTCTTCCATAGTAGGGAACATTGCTAACTTTTCATCATCCTTCAATAGAATACATGAAGATTCAGTTCATAAGTTAAATGATATTGGTAAAATGAAGAGTATTAATAAGTACATGATTTGTATACCAGTAAGCTCTCAAACAACTTGCAATGGTCTTGTGTCTTCTTTTTTCCAGTATGATCTATTTGTTCCAGTACTGCTGAACTCACAAATTTAATCCTTGGGTAACCCTGAGGTATTTTTACTAAATGTGATTGAAGTAGATCCACATATATGAGCTGGAACAATTAGACAGAATAGAAATAGGATTTATTAGTACAACAGTGATGTGAATGTGTAGTGGAAGCATAGTATGTGCAATTTTTGAAAGGTTTAGCTTACATGTAGAATATGAACGCATCCACCCACATTCAGGTTGTGCACTTTGTTTTCCCTTTTGATTCACGGATTGCCTCGATAAGGTACTCAGCAGCAAAACGACACCAATTCATACGAGTATGTCGCTCAAGTCCTTCAAAGCTCCTAGTAGGTAACTTCTATTAATTTGGTAACCAGTCATTGGAGCTAAGTAGGCGCAAAGAATGACTTGCATGAAACACAAGCAAAACTTGTCCTTGTCTTTCTCCTCTTTGTACGTTAACATCCTATCTATCGCTTCCTTGAGTGACCCTCCTCTTCCGGCCGTACCAGACTTGAATTCAGTTTTACCTCTGAAAGGTTTGTCACGAACCCTACCTGGACGGGGCATTGGAACTGCTTTGTCAAGAGCAGGTAACTTCAACAGGTTTTCAAAAGCTTGTACTATAGAAACCTTCCTGTTTCTGAATACTAGACACTTGTTGTCGCAGTCTACTCTTTTCATCAGCCATATAGTTAGCTTTTTGGGTAACTTGCACTCAATCATGTCAATGAGTGATCCAAATCCCAATTCTTCTATCCATTTTAGTTGTTCTGGACATAGTTTTTTTATAATGGCGCGTATCTTGTTTGGATCACATTTCCTACATGGATGTTCGGGAAGCGCAAGGTTAGTGCTGCCATCAATACTTATCTTTTAAAGCAATGCAAACATCGATTGTAGTAAGTAAATACCTGCTTAACTTCGGAGGTAGCTACTCTCTTAAGTTTCTTGGGAGATCTTATACGGCTATTCCTGGTTGATTTAGATTTAGAGGAAACATCAGTATCACTCATGTCCATGCTACAGCTTTCATCAGAGTTAGTTCTCTAAAAGCTTGGAGATTTCCGGCGACGGCTTGCAGAATTAGTCATGTGTGAAATTAAAAATTCCAAATTCAGAACCAGCATAGGTAGAAATAATAAAGTGGTAAAGAGAAAATTCAGTTATTAGTAACATGAACATTTTAGATTATTTGGATCTAAATGTACTTACAACCTGTGGACTTATGAAACCCCTAGGATACGTACGGATGTAGCAGTTTAGTATGGAGATTAGTAAAATTTCAACATTATATCTAACATTTCAGTACCCACTGTGTACCATTAACAAAAATTATGTGCCATCTTATTTGAATAACAATTTGCAGTCTGTACTTGAAAAATGTATTGAAATACAAATTGAAATCATGTAGAATAGCCATTTCACTAGCATGATCAGATATAGTTTCTATAACCTATTTCAATATAAATTAGAATCATGTAGAATATCAATTGAAATCCTGTAGAATAGCCATTTCACTATCAATTTGCATGATCTTATTTCAATAAAAATTCATATCATGCAGCCATTTCACTAGCACAAACAAATATAGTTTTTGTACCGTATTTCAATACAAATTGGAATCATGTACAATAGCCAGTGAAATCATGTAGAATAGCCATTTCACTAACAATTCACACAATCTTATTTCAATAAAAATTGAAATCATGCACCCAGAGTGTATCCTTAAAACGAATTAAGGGAACTAGAAATCATATTTCAATCACAGTTTCGGTAACAAATAACTATCTCACTTTGAACATCTCATTACTAATGAGCTACCGCCTTTTCTAGTTTACACATGGGGATCTAGGGTTAGAGAACCAAATAATTTATCAACTATAGAATGCAGGTTTAGAACTGGCGGATTTCTACAAATCAAACCAAAATATACTAAATGTAGAAACTGTAAATAAAGATGAGCAGCACGAAGTATGAGTAAATGAAGATGGATATCTAACCTTCACGAACTAATGAGGGCGGCGGAAGTCGGTCAGTCAGAGGGGAAGAAAAGCGACTGGTGAGCCGCCAAGAACGCGGGCCGGCGACCGAGGCGGTGGGAAGAAATCAACCCGTTCAGCCGCGAAGAGCGTGGCCCGGCGGCGGAGGAGATGGCGACGGATGAATCATTGACACCGATGGAAGAAGAAGATAGGCTTGCGGGGGGTGGGTGAGGACTGAGGGGGGGGGGTAAAGAAAAGGAGTTAATAACAAGTGGGGCCAACCATTGATAGGATGTAATGGTGAATACAACGGCTTGGGCAGATGAATACACTCATATACAAACATGTGGGCCATCGGAAGGCACGAATCGCAAACAATGCCAACGGTGGATGCTGCTCCGGTACATCCCCCCTCCGGTAAAAAGAGGTTTGCGCTGCTCCTCCCCTGCTTCGATCGGGCCAGGGCAAGGAAGAAGACGACGACGCCAGCCTGGCCCCTGCCAGTGGGTCCCGCGCCCCTCTTGGCCCCACCTGTCGGCCTCTGGCCGTTGACTAGCCCTGCCCACGTGGAAAAGTGCCAGGCCCCACTCGTGGGACCCATACGCGTCAGCCCCGCCACTGTTCCTTTGGATAAGGTGAAAACGTATTTCCCCGAATGCGCTTTCACTTTTTCTGTTCAGGCCCCTGGTTGAAATTATTTTCATTACAGATGGGTCCCTAGCAGAAAAACCTCAATATCTTTTTATCCGTAACTCCGTTTGAGGTGAATCCAACACTCACTTATTCGTTTCGTCGAGCCCGTTCTTTTGGTCATGTTTTCACTATGGTTTGACACTATGAAAATGACCTTTATGCCCTTGCCCTTATTCAGCCCCTCCAAAAGAGAACGTTTTCCGGCGATTCGTTCTGCGAGCTTCTCGCACTTCTCCCCGGTGCCTTCTTCATCCTCAGGCAAGCCACAATACCCACTTGCATGATAGTCATGTAGTAGCCATGGTTTTCAACTTGAATCTTTACTAAATGTTTGCTTGTTGAAAAGATGGTTATCGTTGTTCCGGTAATGTTTAGAGTTGCATGTTCACTTTTGTGCTATGTTGTATTGTACTCTGTTATCATGTTGTACCTGCTAGTATTTATTTTCCTATGTTTATGCTTGCTAGTAGTACATGTTGATGTTGGAGATGGTCATGCTAGTCAGTATGCCATGCTCAGTGCATATGATTTATTGTTGATATGGTGGAAATTTATGTGATACTCTCATGATGATGTTGATATCATGTTCATGCATTTTATCATGGCTTAGCATATTTGCATTCAAGTTAACCGGATTAAAATGAACTTGAACAACTGTTGGCTGAGTCATGGTGCCACTGAATTGATGCTGACCAGTGCAACCATGCTTACTGGTATGGGACGGTCCTAACTGGGTCTATTGTCGTGCCTCTCGCCGGTGCCTCCAACGAGGGAAGGTTATGTGCGCGTTGTACCCTGGCCCGGTAAGCAGGCATAACCTTGTGTGCCCATAGTTGTTATAGCTGGCGGATCCCTGTGTGTGATCATTTATGTTTTGGCCATGACGGTGGTCATTGTGTCTGGAGGTAGGCACGGGGCCACCCATGACTTAGCTCAGTGAGGAGTGAGTCGGAGTGGCCGGGAGAGTGTCATGGAAGTAGGACGGTTTTGTCAGAATGCTGTTGGTCCACCCGAATGGGAGTGCGAGGCCATGGGTTCCATAGTGTGGGTACATTGTACTAACCTCTGTAGAGTGTATATTAAATCTATCGATAGCCGCGCCTGCGGATAAGGGCCCAGGTCGAAAGTAGGTCACACCATGAGTCAACAGTAATAAGAATAATGTGCTTAATAAAGTGAGATAAGTTGGTAGTGATCTCCGTAAGGATCACGGGCCAGGTATTGGTTGGGTTGTGATCGCCGTAAGGATCATGGGCCATGTAGTGGTCGGGTTGTGATCGCCGTAAGGATCACGAGCCATGTAGTGGTCGGGTTGTGATCGCCGTAAGGATCACGGGGCAAGTGTTGGTCGGGTTGTGATCGTCGTAAGGATCACGGTGGTATCGAGGATACCGAGTTGTTGTATATTCGTGCGAGAGTCATGGGTAAACGCCAAGCTCCTTGTGGTCCACTAATGATTACTATGGTATTGTTTATACCAAGCTTGGTTTGATCCTGAGATGATCGTGTGATGTCCGAGGTTGGTAAGTGATGCATATGTTGGTTACGAGGTAACACGAGCAGAATAAATGGTGCATAAAGTGTCATCATGTTGCATGCTAGTATTGTCGGATTATTATGCTGATGTGGTTCTAGCTATATCATATTCATGTTATATTGTTCTGATGATATCATGATAATTCCTAATTAACCTGTAATTGCCATGCTGTTGTTTATCTTGAATGCTTCTGGTTATTGTGAGCTTGCAAGTACATTCAATGTACTGACCTGGCATGTCATGCC